GTTTTTATGAAAATCTAGCCCGTATACTTAACTTATGGAAACTCTAATTAAGTTTTTTGTATATTTGAAAGTGGAAAGTACTCTTTTAGTGAAAAATCATATCTTGTAAACTTAAAATTACCTTGTAGGGGAAAAAAAATCTGTCACTATAATTTGCTCCCCCCTTCCCTTACCGATAAACTTTTAAAGAACAAAATTTCAAATCTAAGGACAAACTGTTAAAATTTAAACCGTCAATTCTAAAGTATCAGGAGAATTTAATATAACGTAAAATATGGCACAGATACAAAATCCAGGCGATGCAATTTCAAAAACACTGTTTATTAATGGAGTACTCAGTACTGTAAGTCACTCTTTCTACATATATACTCGTATAAAATATACATTATTAAAACTAGTTTACATGACGCAGCTCAATACTCAGGCGCTGGGCTCTTGGCGTTGCTGATTTCATCTTTTGACACGTAGAACTGTAAGAATTAAAAGGCACAAACGTGAGCACGTACCGGAACTCTGCCTTCCGCAAAGATTCTAACAAGCTCACTTTAAGACAATCATGTTGAATTTCAGGAAAGAATTCTATTTGTAATTTTATAGGCTAATGCAATATACATATGCAGGTCCGGCGATTTGTCTCGGCTCTGGGCATGGAATACTGTGGAAATTTCTGATGAAAAATCTCCCCCCCCCCCACTGACTCCATTCCATCAATATAAGTTGGTAAAATTTTTAAGTACACAAATTTTTTCTTTTAACATTTAATTATTTATTTTTTACAATCAAAAACGTGGATGCTCTATAATTATTTTTACTTATAAATTCATTTAATAATTTATCAATGTCATCCATTACAGCCTCCGCTAAATCTCTGGTGGATATATAATTTACGCGGTGGGTGTGGATTGTTTCACTGAATCCACACAAAGAACGCCGGGCCTGTACATATGTGTATATTTCAATCATACTTTAATGTGTGCAGCTTATGACGTTTTTTTTGACATAGAGAAAAAAAAGAGCAAAATTATAAATAGAATTATATCCCGAATTCAGACACAATTGGACGAAATTGCGACTCGTCCGAAGTAGGTTTGGTGCGAAAAGTGGCAATCGCGATCGTTACCTTGTATTGTCTGTCCTTGTAATAGTTCCACGGCTCGGCCTCTCTCTTGTTCAGCCAGGAAACGTCAGGACTGCGCGTCGCCAGACGTAACGTGTACAAGAACGCGCCGCAGCTTGCCAGTCCTATGCAGAAGTACAGCGGATACAGCTGAAAAACATGAAAGAGATAACGTTAAGCGGAGTATCGTTCGGCGGCGCGGAGTAATCTGCAAGTTTCGCGTACTCACGGCCGGGTTCTTATTGAGGGTCGCGAAACTGAGCCCTTGCATTCTCATGATTGCGGCGTCCAGTAGAAGATTCTATGTGCAAGATTCTCTCGATAACACACACTCTCTCTTTCTCGATAGTCTTGATGCACTGTTTTTAGTGTTTTTGCAGCACCTGTATTTTTGCAGATTAAGACTGATATACCCAGCTTGGTGACTACGCGATAAAAGGCGATAAGAATCGATAAGAACATTATCGAGAGCACGATTCTCTTGAGTGGTAAATTTTAAACTCGATTAAATCCCAGACTCTGTCGGGCAATGAATTAATTAATTTCTCCGATAAATATTGGATTAAATTAAGATTTGTCGAAAATTCATGTAAACGGGTTCTAATTATAGTAAATTCTAATTCCAGTACGGGTTCTATGTCATAGTAAAAAATATGTAACAAATTTAAATATGTTAAATTAGACATATTCAATCATTTTATATAAATTATATAATATACATATACAAAATATATAATTTTGAAATAAAATATGTAAAATAAAAAAATATATTAAAATTAAAATATATAAGATAAAAGTTTTAAAATAAAGCAAGTGTCTTTTGCAGTGAATCTTGATTGGGTTGGTAATATTTTTACGTAAATATTTACAAAATATGCAGCAATTACATGTATTAGCATTACAGACGTACACTTTGCGCGCGCTATTTAACATTTTTTACTCCTTTACTATAATTTACTATTATATCACATCCTCAATACATCAGCATTGCAGCTGAAAAGAGGCAACAATATTTCCAGAGATGCGAGTTATCGACTTAACATGTCTTTTTTTAGATAGGAGAAAATTAAATGATTTTTCAATCACTTGTAGCGGATAGTCTACATATATGTTTGACAAGGATTAAATAATCTTACAATTAGACCGAATATTATTTTAATATATCTTTTACATTTCAGCGTATAAAAGCCTTTTGCTTGTACAATTTATTAGGTAAATGATAAAGCGCGTATATCGATTATTTTAATTAGAATAAGTATAACGTAGATGAAAAAGTCAAGAATAAAATTAAAAATACATAATTACAAAATTAATTTTTTATAAGGAATTAAAACAAAATTTAACGACGATTTTAACGATATTTTTAGCATTAAAGAATTAAAGAATTCGTATTTCGATCACACAATATGCAGACAATTTTTTAAATAGGTCAACTAGGAATGACTACCTTAAAGAATAAAAAAATTCTTACAAACTTCTACTCTAAAATAAGAAGAATGATTTATATGATATTTATTTAATAAAATATAAAATTATATGTTATAAATATTTTTTTTTTTTGCGACAGCCCAAGCGTCAAGATAGAAAATACATTCATTTTCAGACGCTGATTAGTGATATGGGATCTATTTCCTTAGTAATATAACCGGGTATTGTGGAAAGTAATCTATTCACTGTCAGCGACTATATCTATAAGGCTCGTCGTCGTCATCGTCGTCGATCGATCGGCAGCTGCTCCTTTTCGAGAGGAGCCTGACAGCCCCCGTGCGCGTTGTACTCTCACGTACTCACTCGGTACGTTAATAATGACGTGCACGCGTGGAATTCGATAGATTGCAAGCGATCCGCCACTGAAATTCGACGTACAATCGGTAGCCGGCTCACGAGTGGATTAGGCGGCTCGGATAAATTTTCAATTGGGTCGCTGAGCTCACCTCGCAGCTCAACTGACGTTGCACGTTATGCGCTGGCATATTTCATAACAATTAGACATATTTCGCGAGCAGAGAATATACGCACCTGCGTCTAATTCCATGCGTCGAAAAGTTATGAGAGAGAGAGAGAGAGAGGAGAGAGAGAAGATTTGAAGATTTTGAAGCAAAGAGAAATTTCGGTTATTTGAAAATCCCGATTAAAATTGAATCTTAACAATAATAAATAAATGTTTGTAGAAATAATTATTATTTCGCAATGAATCATTAATTCTATAAATAATTGGACTTAATTTTTATACAATAATACAATAATCTATGTTCACTGAGTTTGTTTTTATTCTAAAGTGACAACGAATTTGAAGATAAAGATTTGCGCTTAGCGGGAGATATATATACATGATAGCAGATAAAATAAAACATTAGGCAAAACATTAATTTAAAGTTAATGGTGCGCAGGCTGGGCGTACGGAAACAATCTCTTTAGAAATTTCGCAGATTTGAATTTTTTAACAATCGCATGGCGCGCATTTTGCGTGCACTTTTCCATTTTTCTCCGTTGGGGAATTCCAGTTTGCCTTCGTTGTTCGTTAATGAAAATCAATGCTTGGGCACTCGTTAAACGCGCTCGCGATTTGCCGTTCGGTAGCCCAAATGTTGATCGCGTCGCATGCGATCCGAAAGCTACGCGAGTTCTCCATTTCGGTTAGATTTACGAGCGTGCCGGCTTTGGTTTATGCTGTGCCCCGCTTGCCGCTGACTGATTTGTGATCTTGGCAGACGAGTTACGTCCACACTCGCGTAACATTCGATGTGTTAAAACGTACCTCTCGCTCATTGTCAGTCTTATGCAGTCTCTAAAATTCAGTCAGATTCCGTTAACGCTCGAAAGCGTTATATAAAGAGTAACGTGTACGCCATTTGAGCGTCTCATGCGCCTCCAACATTTCATATTTAAAATAAATTTTTACGATATGACTTCTCATTTTTCATCTATCTAGCAAGGGAACTTGGTTCAGTATAAATTGCCGTAAAAAATATTCTATAATATATTATATTATAATATTTTTTACGACATTTTATACTGAACCAAGTTCTTTTGAAGATAATGCAGGAGCGATTGAGTGATTGTTTGCTTCTAAGATGTAATAAAATTTTTTTTTACTTGATAAGAACAGAGTCGTGAAATATATTCTATTAGAATTTAGAAGCAAACAATCCACTTAATCGCTCTTGCGTTATCTTCATAATTATATTGTATAAAAACATATAAACTGATCCTCTATATTTCATTTGCGCGATCTTATATTGCATTAAAAAATATCATAAGGATTGCCTAAAGAACAAAATTGTTAACTTTGTTAAGGGGAGATATAAACCTAGGAGCCGGAAAAAAGGTCATTTTTGTGAATTTTTTTAAGGAAAACTATTTGAAATTTCGGATTGAGAGTTTTTCTATCTAAAAGTATACACATTCAGGAATATGTTCAATCGGAAGAGCACACG